ATTAAAAGAAATTGGTTTTATTTAAAAATATATATAAATAATCATGTAGAAAAAATTCAACTGAAAAGAAGCCAATTTATCAAAGAAAGTTTCACCCATAAGCATTAAATAGAATATTTTGTAAATAGCATTCAGTTTTCCATATTATTTTGTGTTTGGTAATTCTTTGTACACAGGTTCCTCATCACAATATGCGGTCTTTGAACGCCAACATAATGTCAATGGCTGCCGAATGTCTGAAATCAGACGGCTACAAGTACCAGTACCAGTAATTGAGTCATTAAAGAGTACTTAATATTTATGTGAATATTTATTTCACTGACGCGTTACTAAAAATTTATTAGTGAAATGTGTTTAGGTCAATTCGGGTGCTCAATTACATTGAAACTAAAAATATTTTTGCTTATGTCACCGTTATTGTCAAGACACACTCACTCTCTGAAATCGTTTTAAACAGCTTTAATGCTCAGATCGTCGGAGCGCCTCGGGCCACGCCCCCTTGACCCAGCTGGGCTCCGCCTTTGGACCCCGCCCCCACCCCCTTCAGCCAAATGGTGTAGTCACTCACGCATTTCAAATCTCTCAGGTTGGTAACTATGCTAGAGCAAAAAATTTAAGGGCCTGTTATTGGCAAATCCACGGTGAATTAAATTATAGGCTAGTAACACAAACTGGCGTTAAAACAAACCTATGAAAACTTTAATAAATACTTTATATCTAAACTTTCTAAATTCGCCTCTGAATGTTATTGTCGCAGTACTTAAAGCAATAAATCAATGTTGCTATCAGAATTATCTTCTTCATTCTCATATACAACCTAACTCTAGAGTAACTTCGAAGAAGTTTCTGGCACAACACTTGCTTGAAATTGGAGGTGATCGGACCCGAATGATCACATCGAATTCTACATAAAGAACACTGCAGCACCTCAGGCTAAGGCCTATACAATTCAAGTGGGCAATAATAAATTAATTAAAGTACAGTATTTAATTTATATTCCAAAGAGATTCCAAAGAGATAGAACCTCCACTAGGATGGAACATATGCAAACTTGCATTGAACTGTTGAACTGTCTTCATGAAGCTTAAACGAGGATAAACTTCATATAAAATAATAATATTTCATCCGAACAATTTAAATTATTAAATGTAACTGTTATCTTTTAAATAAACTCTCTTACGTCCAATCGGCTAAAGGGGTCCGGGTAACAGGCCTACATTAAGCGTTTAGTGTAAGTACCGTACAAAGGTACATGATTAGAATCAAATATAGAATTTAAGCAAACAAAAACAACATATCCTAAACAAGTCTCCGTTATATTAGGCCTATATTGAAAAAAAATGTAAACTTTTTAATATTTTAAAAAAATGTAAACTTTTTAAAAATTCGGCCAAATATATTTTGGCCGTGACTTTTCAAACGTTACGGCCAGGCAAATTTTTATACGGCCAGATTTGAGGAATCTGGCCGTCAAAAAGGCCAAATGGCAACCCTGGTCTCAACCTTGTTTGGGATTTTCTGCTACAGCTGTGTCATCTTGAGACAGGATTTCAAATACGCAATAAGACATCAATGAAATAACACTAACGTACACTGAATTATACTACATAATACCGTACATTCTATTTAATATTTGTCTAACAAATAAACATTTAGGCTGCTATCATAAATAAAATGCATGTATACTTTTAGACATTATTGTGTGTTAGTCCAAGGGTGCAGGCTACCACCACCCAAATAAACGTAATCTGTATTGAATATCAAATTGTACAACACAAAACATTACATTTATTAATTATTCACTGAAACTTACCTTAGTTTACACCTTCAAGTACAGTTTTACCACTCAGTATAATTAAAAATTAATGATAAAACAGAAAATAATACAGTAGGTAGGTCTATTATAAGGTCCTAAGTATAATAAGGCTGTTTGTCTGTTTGCCCTCCTCACGTTTCCCCCTACCTGAGAAAAAAATAGGGGTGGCAAAGCAAGAAAACTTTTTTCTGCTTTGTTCTTTACATATAAATAAATGTGTTTAAAAAACTCTTTTCAACCAGCCCCTTTTTATCATTTTTAAAAAAGAAGGGCGAACAAACAATTTATATTTTTAGACCTAATAGACCGTCTCAACGACTATATTGCTTTGATAGCCGGAATCCACATTCCCTCTTACCTGAAAAAAAAAGAAAAATATTAACGAAAGCACTGTGCTTGAATTAGCTGTAAATAGACACACCTGTCTCTTATACACATCTAGATGTGTATAAGAGACAGGGAAAAAAGAGAGAAAAAGAAATGAGACAACACTGCCGTAGGGGGTCTGGGGCATGCCCCCGCGAAATTTTTGTGTTCTAGACGCCCGAACTTAACATTTGAGGCATTCTGGGCTATCATTTTTTTCTTTTTCTCTCTTTTTTCCTTTTTCCCCCCTTTTTTTTCCTCCCAAAAGGGGGGGAGGGCCGGGGCCGGGCCGGCCCCCCCCCCTAAATCCGCCCCTGGCATAGATGACGACTCCAAACAATAGTGGGATTGGGATAATGCCCATATGGCGCCCCATACAAATTTCGCCCGGCCGAAATTATCGGCGGCCGAAGTCATGAGGAAATGGGCCCGATCGTCTTTGGAAAAATGGGCCCGAACGTCTACCGCCGTTTTAGAAAATGGGCCCGAAAGTCTACATGGGTGGGCCCGATCGTCTGGGCCTGATCGTCTCGTGTGCCCGATCGTCTGTAATTCGCCTACTGCCGTCACTCTGCTCTAGTACCTACACCGTGTAACAGCTGTCTCTTATACACATCTAGATGTGTATAAGAGACAGATCCACAGATGTCCGAAGGGGGGAGGGGCCGGACCGAAAAAGATAACACCATCTTGGAGAAATTTTTGTTTTCTAGACGCCAGAAAATAACCTCTGATGCGTTTGGGCGATCAATTTTTCTTTATTTATTTTCTCTTTTTTTTCACCCCCCCACCCCCAAATCCTCCTCTGCTTTTTAAAATCACATTATTAAGATTGATCTAAATTTGATTTAAATGTATTAAATATTAAGGTACATTGTAGTCGATCTATAGCATAATTACCAACTGTCTCGCATTTCAAAGTGATTTTGGATGAAACACACATTTTGCAGAAACACATGCGT